GACAAGTAAATTATTCTTTATAGTTTTTACATGGATGGCCAGACATTAGAACCGTCGTTTAGACAGCATTCATACTGCTGATCGCCCATTCAATCAACAATCAATGGCCAGTAATAGTCAGTGATACAGACAGCAATCATATGGATGGCCATACATAGAACCAACTACTAAGCTGATGGACAGTCGTTTAGACAGCATTCATACCGTTGATCACCCATTCAATCAACAATTATTGGTCTATTAAGTAAGAGGAAATATGTTTGTGTGTAATGTATGTACTAGGAACAAATACAGAATCAAAGTCTATTTATTTTTGTAATGTATAGGACAATTATTGTACAGGTGTTTAGTTTTCTGTATTATTTTACTTTTTAGTGTGTGCGCTAGAAAAAAATAATAGAAAAAACTAAACAATTCTACAATTATCCAATACACAAACATAAATAAATAAATGGATACAAATAAACAAATACATATAAAGTAGCATAGCATCTTTTTTTCAGACTGCAATGCGTTTACATTATAAAACAAATGGGAAAACAAACAGACGCTCACTCACACACACATAATATGTGCATGTTACATATTATGTATAACGTTATAGCAACTCACCGATATAGAATTGGATCATCATTTCCGTACTCAAGCATAGCACCATCGTTGCTGTCGTCAATCTCATCATCGCTGCTAGTTCGAGTGATCTCAAACAAAACTTCTTCAGCAGAAAAAAACTTCTTCTTTTGACGATCCATTGATGCCCGAATCCGTCCAGTAAGTGAGAAGCGAAAACAGATGTTGACTGGGTACCGGTCTTTTTTTTTTTTCACCTGTGTCAAATGACAGGTTTGTCGTCACAGCCTACGTCGCAGGTTTGCTACTCAACCGGAATGAAGAGCGCCAAATTCAAATAGAAAAAACATCTGACTCGAGTGATGAATATAAACTTCGCGGGTATCGTTGGACTCGTGCACTGATTGGCTACATTTTCTAGCAGTCATATAGTTTCGATTCTTTCGTTGGCTTTCGTTGTAAAGACAAAATGATAGGATGTGGAATTGTGGATATCATGACGTCGAAAAAACTACCAGCAGTATTTGGATATTTTGAACTAGATATTGCCTATCTTTGTTTGTGTGTGTTTGCGCGGTCTTAATTTGTTCATAACACTCTAAACAACACAACCATATAACTTTCTGTCACCGGGAGTCTGATTTGTTTGCATTATTTTATTGCATAACGGACAAGTATGATAATTCACCCTGAAGAAACGCGATGTAAACAAAGGAATAACCATCGATATTACAACGTTATTGTTTCTTTTGGACAAAAATGCTCAATGGGATATTATTCAGTGGACCCTTAGCTTTCCATTCAATCTGGGATTTTTAGCAGTGGATGCGTGTCTGGCTCGTTATTACGACAATAAGGGTAAGTACTCCGTTTTGTTTACATGTGTTTTTATGTGTACTGCTTACCTAAATGCAAGAAATACATTTGTTATAAACTTTCCATCGAAAAACAGTGCCCTGATATCGATGCCAGAGGCTTAGACCTTTAAAATTATATATAGTTAGCCAAGATTAACGATCTTCTTTCATGTTAAATCTATTCATAAACATTAAACTAGGGGGGGGGGGGGGCTTCAGAGCGCCGTCGGGGGTCCGAAGGTTAACTGGTTAGGCGTAATTTTCGATTAAAAATTCAGCATGATAGTAATGTTGATTGCTAACATTCCAAGAACATAAAAATGTCTAGTTTCCTTAATGTTACTACGCAGCAAAACTCAAGAGTGTTAAAGTGTTAAATTAACACTGAAGAGTGGTAAAGTTAATGTGCTATAGTTATTGATTGAGTGAGTGATGATTGAGCATTATTGGAGACACTTGATGATAACAATCAGAATCACTGAAGAAGAAAACTCAAATTTTAGTCACCATTATGGAGATCAGTGTTTGGTTTAGTTGGGCAGGTGACCTTTACATGTTCAACTTTAGAGTTTGTTTGGCTGCTGTACATGAGTTATGACAGCCAGATGAACAAAGAGAAAAAAGGCAATTGGTGGTGTTGGTTATGTTATAACATAATCATTATTTCAAAATCATATGACCCTAATCACTGAACTTAAGTAGTCCTTATCTCTGATTAGAATGTATATTGGTCATTACAGTTTCAAAGTGATTCAACCGTATAAATTCCAGGTCATTCAATATAATCTAAATGATTTCTTAAAAGTTGTTCTCACAAAAAAAAAATCTCTCTTTCAGGCACACACAGACATATAGATTCAGTGTATGAATCTCAACTATGGTGACAAAACGAATATTCCTAAGACAATTCAATCATAATTTATTCATACCGCAATGTATGATGGGAGTTATGAATGAGTTTTGATTGGTGGCACCCAGAATGCACTGCATCATGCTTTATTATTGTCACCATTGTTGAGAATCACAGGCTGATTATTGACGTCTGTGTGTCCAAACAAAATTCCATTTTCAACAACTTTTGATCAGAACAGCTTTAAAGGTCCGCTGACATGTTTTTTTTGTATTATTTTATAATGTTTCCTGGGTTGCCCTTATAATGTTAGTATGTTTTTTAGATCAAAAATAGTCATAATTTAGAAATAAAAGGCATTTTAGCCTCTGCTTAGAACGGTCTGTTTGAAGGGGCGTGTCTGCTGTGGGATTCAATGTAACCGCCCACTGCTGTGATTGGCTGACATGCTTGCATATGAAATAGCTACATATTACATGTCTCTTGAATACGTACTAAAGCTATTATACGTTTTTACTAATACAGATATCGAGATTACTGAATAGCATAGGCGTAATTTGCGGGTGGGACTGGTGGGTCGATATTGTCCCTACCACTTTTGAAACATATTTCGCAGCACAGATGTAAATTATTCAAATAAATAAATCACCTCTAGTTAACTAGCAGAGCATTCATTTATTTCGTTTCTTTAAATAAGAGGCGATCTAGCGCTGAAATGTGTTGCTTTTGAAAACAAGTGGTCAAAGTGCTCGTTGCCGCTGCGATCAGTGGCGTGGATACAGTTCTCTTGTGGCTCGCGCTGTCGCACACAGTCTTCACACGGACTCGCACTTAAATCCGTTGTGGAGACTATATTCGATCTGGTGAAATCACAAAGTAAAATGCACACAAACATACAACTGATAAACATAATCGGTTTTAATCAGAGAGAGAGAAAAAAAAAATGATACGAGTGCGGAATTAGAACCCAGAAACTCTGTCACGCTTGGCAAAAGTTCTGCCACTGGACTAATGAAATGCTTGCGTGTCATTGTCAGATCTCTGTATTTCATTTCAAACACATATTACATCTCGTCCGCTCTTGTCGAGGTAAAAAGCTGCACTTGAACACATCAAGAGAACTACAGCCGACTGTCAGCTAAATGTGCGTTCTGCTCCTGCGTTTAATAAGCCAAATGTCTATTTCTGCAGATATATTAGTCTATATTCGTCATTCAAAAAGGAAAACCGACGCTGCGGCTGCAGATAAACATAATGTAAACAAAGCACCGCGTGCTTACTGTTTTGAATATCATCCTGCTAAACACTTTCTTTAAATTTTAAATTTAAAGAATTTTTTTTAAATTTTCATCCTACTCAATGAAACGATGTGAAGTTGATAATAGTCTGCCTTGACTTACTGATGCATAAACAGTATCGAACGATGTTGAGAGAAAGATTAACATACCTGTCTTCTGCCGTTTTGGACCATACAAAACTTCTGGGAGTAGAGTCAGCACATTTCCAGAGAAAATAAAATTAACCCATTGTTTCTTCAGAGGCTCGGATGAAGGAACTAAAAAATACTTTTGTGTTCATTTGTACATACCCACACTGAGCAACTGCCATGCTTCGCTCGTTTGCAAGCCATGATATTTCTCGAGGAAAAACTCAAATCTCAAAGTGACGTTAAAAGCCATGATATTTCTCGAGGAAAAACTCAAATCTCAAAGTGACGTTAAAAGCCATGATATTTCTCGAGGAAAAACTCAAATCTCTAAATGACGTTATATAGGGGGAGATTCTAGATCAGCGCGTCTGAGATGCAGACAGATGCAGAGAAGAGAAAAATAGCCAAAGCTCGGTTTACACCAATTGAAAATTCTAGACACGAGGGGACCAAATACAGTCTAGGGGAACTCATATTAATGTTAAAAAACCTCAGAAAATTTAAATTTCATGTCAGGGGACCTTTAAGACATTTTATAGGATTATACTAAAAAAAATAGGATTTTATGCTGTTAAATCACTTGGATAAGGTAATGACCAATATACCTTTATGTCAGAGATTAGGACTGAATGAGTTCAGTGATTCAGGTCATATGATTGTGAAATAATGATTAGGTTAAAACATAACCAAGACCACGAGATCACATTTTCTCTTTGTTCATCTGGCCGACAAACAAAATCTAAAGTTGAACATGTAAAGGTCAACTGCCCAACTAACCAAACATTAATCTCCCAGATTTTTCATGTTCCCAGAACCAACACTGAATATTTAGAGAATGTTCTTATAACAAAATTCTGTTAGCTGGGAAATCCTCATGCCCTTCCTCTTAAAAAATACATTTATGACATATTTAGTATGAGACATATTTAAAGTAGTTTACTGTAAATTTAGTCCTTTCAAAAAGAAACAGCTTTCTGAACTTCACAAACAAAAATATAATTTGCAACATTAACAAATTTACAACTTTATAACTCTGAATGTAAATTCATGTATTTTCCTTCACCATGCACACATGAAACAGTTTTTAGGTTGTTGTTTTTTCCCCCCAACATTTACTTTAAAATATTTCAGCTTAATTATTCTGAAGAATCTGTAAAAAAAAAAAAAAAAATGTTTTTCACCCTCCACCAAAAAAAAATCCTGTTTACAAAAGACTAAATAAAATTTAAGAGCATTACATCAATAGCATTAACACCTATAAAATAAGACACTAGTATAACATGTTTTTCTATCATTCAAGTTGAGATTATTAATTTATTATGAATTTAAAATTCCCAAAACATTCACTCCGATCTATAAAATAACCCTATAATTATGGCACTTTTCATTTCCTGATCATGATGTTGTGGTCCTCAGTTTTGTTTGAGTCCACAGCAAAGACGTCTGAAGAACTTCCTGTACTGCTGTCTGACCTGGACAAGAATGAGACGAGAGGAGCTGAGTGACTTCATGACATCAATACAACCTCTGAAGGCCTGTTCACACCGGGACGAATTTCACGTACAATGTTCGCCGAACGTCAAGTGACTTGATTCAATTAGATAGATTCAATTTGTGACTAAACAAAGGGTGGCAATGTCAGGTCAAAGCTTGATTAAAGACACATCTCTTTGTCCTAGCATACACATAAGACTTCTATAGCTCAATGTTAGGCTACATAGATTAGGTCAGCTGGAACTGGGAACACTTCCCTTAAATGACATCTACACTAATTTCAGTGTCTTTGTTTATCTCAAGGTTTTCCCGCAGCCTGCCGGATCCAGACCGTATCCAGGTCTGACGAGGAGCTTAGCCTGGACCCGATGACAATGTAGTGCTGAAGTGCTAACTGGCCTCTCCCTATGGAGGATCCCTTTCCCACTCTACAGATGCAGTAAAGCGTTGTCAATTCATTTCGCGTACCTACCCCGAAGTGATAAAATAAAACAAAATTCTGCATCAAATTTATAGACAAAAAGTTTGTTCAGGCATGGTTTTGTAGGGAATTACAAACCTACTCACATATTCAAACGCACATAACTATAGAATCAGTTCTTAATGCGCTTGTGAATGTCATCAGCGTTTATCACTGGTTTGCGTTTAATACATTTTTACCTAACAGTTACTGTTTACTAGTTCATAAACACCAGAGGAGAACTGGCCCCCGACTAGGGATGGGCATTGTTAAGAAATGCCCAAACTGAACTGAAAGTAGTTGAAGGAGATCGCAATTCTCGCGCATGCGTCGTGGAAATCTATTAAAGTCTCGTTTCAGGCCAACAAGGAAGAAAAGGAATAGTCGAATAAAGTCGTTATTTTTGTTTGTTTTTTCGCACAAAAAGTATTCTTGTCGCTTGATAAACTTATAGTTGAGCCACTGTTGTCTCATGGAATATTTAAACATTTTCTTCATTGACTTTCTGGGCCGTCAAGTGTCATTCCCTTAGGAGCCAATGTGGTAGTTATGCAGCTCTCAAATTTAATCAAAAATATCTTCATTTGTGTTCCGAAGATGAACGAAGGTCTTACGGGGTTGGTACAGCATGGGGGTGAGTAATTAATGACTTAATTTTCATTTTTGGATGAACTAACCCTTTAAAGCCATGGATGTTATTTAAACGTTTGAACACATTTGTTGTGCCACACTCTCGATCGTTTACGTCTAGGGTTGCCACCTGTCCCGGTTTTACTGGGATTGTCCTTCTTATTATTAACCTGTCCCGGGAAATTTAAAGGGACTCTGTGTAGGAAATACCCCCATCTAGTGGTTAAATAGTATTTTGCATTCAAACGAATTTTGCTCTCCAGCGCCTCGCATTTTCAAGTGCGTATTGCATCTACGGTTGCCGTTATGTACCAAAAATGCTATGACAGGATGTCTTGTAGTATCACTTCATCGAGTTTTTCTCCGGGTGAACAGGTTTGTAACTTAAAAAAACCCCAGCAACTTATGTGTTAACTTATGTGTACAATTTATGTGTCTAGCTGTATAAATTAATTTTAATTCTCTGTACAATCTTATCCACATAGCAAAATCACAATTTTAGCTAATTGATCATTTATATATAAAAAGAAAGCTATAGAAAATCTTACAGAGAGCAATATTTTCTTACAATCATTATCTCTATATTCTTACTGAATTTATAGGTTATAAAGAATTAACTTACAAACCTTGTTTTTAGCACCTTCCTTCACAATAGCTGCGAGTAAAGAAGTCAATAGCTGCTATTCATCAAAGACCTTGTTTAACTTTTTTACCTATAAATGTTATACTGTCTATATAATAAAGTACACAACCAAGCAATGACAAAAAAATTAAGTCAGACTGTAACATTGACTAACCTGTCGAGGAGAAAGCAGGCAACTTCAGCGTCTCTTCTGAAATCTTTCTGCTGCATTAGCTCTTTCCACGGTTTAAAACGCTATAGATATTTAAGGCCATTGCACACTGAGTACGAAATTTTCGTATGCGTATTTTCCTGTACGTCAGCCTAAAAATTCGTCACGCATAGAAACCTTGCACACTGAGTCCGTTGCGTATTTATTAAACCTTTGCGGGAAAAAACGCAAAAATACCAAATGGATTCGTCAAGCAGTGAGGATGATTTTTGCCCTCTCTCATATTGAAAAGAGAAGAAATAGAAAATATCCATCCAATCCTGAAATTGCGCCGAGAGGAATTATCCTGAGCGATTCAAAATTTACCTCAGAATGTCAGCGGGACAGTTTGATGCTTTGCTAGCGATTCTGGAGCCACATATTAAAAACAAGACCACCAATTTCCGTGAACCAATCGATTCTGAACGGAGACTGGCAGTGTGTCTGGTATGGACACACACACAAACACACACACACCCGCGCGCGGCCCTGTGGAAGCGCTGGGCAGACAGAACAGCTAGGCTGTTATTGTGTATGTATTGTGTATATTGTGCCCAAATAATACATTAGTTATCGAATAGGCTGCTCAATCACACCTTATTCGATCTTAAATTTCAATCTGATTGAAAGGGGAGGTTTATTAATTTCATAATCCAATATAGAGAAGAGAACATAAACACTTGATCGAATTGAAAACCGAAACTGAAAGCACGGCGCATATAATGTTCAATGATTTGAGGACGAGCTCCCCCGGCCCTGAATTGTCAAAAGACCTCTCAAAATGCTGGCTCTGGATGCGAAAAACGCAGAAAATCGAACCATATCCGATTAATTTTATGACGGAAAAATTAATGGCCTTGTTTTTTGCAATCTTCGGTCACGTTTCCTTTTTCGTTCAAGTCTGGCCTTTTTTTGCGAGGAGGATGCATTCTCCTGTGACTCGGCATATGGTCCGCAACAAATAATAGAGCAAAAGAGCAATCAGCAATCATAGGAGTGCAATGCAGCCGTTTAAACTTGCAGGGAATGCGCCTCTCAATGTGATGTGACGATGGCTCTGAGTCTGAACGAAAACGCGTTGTGGAAACGCGTTTGGCTGGTGGTACTTTTTGACCCTCTCTGCTATTATAGTTTTCAAGATGGCGGAACGGACATGGAAGCCTCCGTGAACCTACCCGTCCCATGTACATAAAGATAATAAATTCTTCATTTACGAGGATAAGTCAGAAAATTTGCAGAGGTATTTGTACACCATTGAGGACATATTTATGAATAAAAATATTGATTTCAGATAATAAAATACCTAAAAATCTACACAGAGTCCCTTTAAGCACTCTCCCGGGACACTGAATGTCCCGGTTTTCGAAAGGCTGCATGAATACGTTTGTTCAAAACTGTGTAGTTCGTGGCCGTATGCACCAGCTCTCCCTATGAGCTAACTAAGCGGCTGCTTAGGTCCCCGCCGCCACTAGGGGGCCCCCTAACTACAGATGGTAGTCACTGCTCAAAGTGTGGGGAAAAGTTCATCCCGTTGGCGCGACCCTCGGGTGGAAAATAGAGACGTGACAGGTGGGTACTCTATTTCCCACCCGAGGGGCGCGCCAACGGGAGGAACTTTTCCATGTCTTTATATCTTTATTCGTTCATGGCAACCCGGTCTCATCCCAAATCGTCATATAACTGACGTTTTGGGACGTCTTTTGACCATACGTCAATATTCGCCTTTTTAGGGCCCCCTTAAACGTCGGTAGATGAGGTTATGGGATCCTAACTCTACCCCATACCTAAACTTAACCCTAAACCTAACCCGTCACCTAACTGACGTTAAAGGTAAAGCGTCAGTTGTATGACGGCCCGGGATCGCCATCTACCGACGTTTAAGGGGGCCCTAAAAAGGCGGATATTGACGTATGGTCAAAATACGTCCCAAAACGTCAGTTATATGACTTTTTGGGATGAGACTGTGTTATTCATGGCGAGTCCGCATCGCATCTTCATCTTTGCAGCGATGCAGAAAACACCAGTTTATTAATAAACAGTTAATTGCCTCCTTCCTATTTTTTACACATTCACTTTTGCCGGCTCGTGCGCTTGAGTGCGGCTTCATTCATTATCCCGTATAGCCTATTTAAGTTATTAAATCAATATAAAGGGGCGATTTGTCCACTAATGGCTTAAATAAGCAACTGATAGTCGACTAGAAAAAACCTTTAGTCGGAAGCAGGGTTGAGCGCGCAACCCTGAGCGGAATGAGCGAGCCGAGGAATCTTCAGAAATGCGCTCTTCGCTCACATGCTTTGATCGGAACAAAAGAATATTGACATAATTAATCATTAGATTATATCTCATACACTGCCCTTCATTTTAATCCCATATCAAACACAGTAGCCTATGTTATGTCTATTTTAATGTTTTTAAATAGACCTCACCTGTCTTCCCAAATCGATTTCTCTTCTTTTCTTTTTTTTTTAAAAACATTTTGACACAGCAGCACTTTTATTTTTTTTGTTTTTGTTTGTTTAGTTTGTATTTAGATAGCCTACTACTTGTTACTTCAATAAATTTGAACGTCTCGTAGCCATCGCGCTTTTGGGGGATTTAAAAATCCAGTCGGATACTGTAACGTCATGCCGTAATGCGGGAATGGATCCAGTCGCATACTGTAACATCATGCCCAGAGGTGGGTAGTAACGAAGTACATTTACTTCGTTACATTTACTTGAGTATTTTTTGGAAAATTTGTACTTTTAAGAGTAGATTTAATTGTGGGTACTTTTACTTTAACTCAAGTACATTTCTAATGAAAAACTGTACTTTTACTTTGTTACATTGGGTGACATTCCTCTCGCTACTTTATTTTAATGCAATATTTTGTTCAAAGCGTAGTTTATTCTAAGTGCGCGCTCTCTCTTTTTTTCTGGGCATGAGCAATGCTCAATTCACAAATGAATCACTCTTTTGAGTCGATTCTGTTCAAAGACTTCATCAAACAAGTTGGGCAGATCTGTCTAAATCGGTTCGTGAATCAGTTTGAATGATCTGTTCAGTTTCCTGCACTCACTGAATCGTCTCGGAGTCGTAACAGGAAGATTTAAGAACATCTAGAGCGTTGTATGAAGTGCCAGTCCACAGTCTACAGTCTAGAAAGTAAATCTGAAAATCGTCTTGTGAATCGTCTTGTGAATCGTAACAGGAAGATTTTAAGAACATCAAGAGCGTTGTATGAAGTGCCAGTCCACAGTCTAGAAAGTAAATCTGAAAACGCATCATATTTTTTTGCCAGCGATGAAGATCTTTATTAGTTGAACATCTTTGTATGTTACTTCGTAAGCTTTCTGTGAACACAAGTGCAGAGTTTTAACACTTTTTAATCTGTGTCAATGGTTCTCATCCCTTTACATATGAATGCAAAACTCCATAGAGTCACTTTATTCCGACATTGCCTAATAATCCAAATGTAGTTGTATAAGTTACTATATTATTATATAAACCAAAGGACAGGCAATCATTTTCGGGCTACAGACATAATATACAGAAATAATGTTTGTCTCATCTGTTTTTGTTGCAAAGATAGCTTATCTAATTATGATAATAATAGTCATTTAAATGAAAAAATATCTAAATAATATTATGTTATGATGAGTTTTTTCATTGGATACTTTTTTACTCTTACTCAAGTAACTTTTAAGATTATTACTTTTACCTTGAGTAAATATTTCTATAAGTACTTGTACTTTTACTTGAGTACAGTTTTTGGATACTCTACCCACCTCTGGTCATGCTACGATGCGGGAATGGATCCAGTCACATACTGTAACATCATGCAGGGATGTGGGAATGGATCCAGTCGCATACTGTGACCGACACCATGCTGCAACACGGGAATGGATCTAGTCGCATACTGTGACCAACGTCATGCCGCAACGTGGGAATGGATGGAATATAACATTTGGAATCATTAGTGGAATCGTTAAGGTGTGGACGTATACGATTACGATGGATCAGAACGTCTGGAACTGGGTCCAAACCGGAACCTGGAACCGATACCCAAGCCTACCCTGACTGAGCCTGGGTTTTTTTTTTCTCCATTGGGTCGTCTTATGGAGTTTTAGGACACCTTTAGGTCACTTGATGGAGTTTTTTAGCTCCTTGCCACTGTTGCCTTTGGCTTGCTCAGTAGGGGATATTCAAATTAAATAACAAATCAGTAATACCCTTGATCAGCTCTACCAAGCGTGTATATTTTTCCACTAAGAAACGAACATTGTTAATATGTTTTGATTGATACTCTGAAGCTGTCTTTGAAGCAATCTATATTGTGAAAAGCACTATATAAATATACATGACTTGATGTGAAAATGTCTTCACACTGACACGAAAATTGGCACGTGTAAAAGCACAATTTTTTTTAAAAAAATGTTTTTTTTAATGTTTGATGTGCCGCGTCAAACACTATCTGACCAATGAGATTGGCGCTTTGGGTCACGTATCTGGAGCTTCTGAAGTTACAGTGAAACACAACTTGGGGGCACTCAAACACAAAACGGTCTTTCCGAGCACACATGTAACGGCAAAGAAGATATACTCCAAGGAGCGTCTACACTGCTTGAAAGAAATAACACGAGGAAGTTGCAAGGCAAGATGAATGTAGATCTGCTGGTCTTGTTGGTGTCTGAACATAAAGAACTATATGACAAACGCAACAGCGACTACAAAAATCTTGATAAAAAAGAACTGTTATGAAGTGGTATTGCAGAGCAAATGGGCGCCATCTAATGTCAGGGAATGAATTTGCATGTTCACTCGGCTCATTGTCAGCGAAAATCGCTTGGGTGTGAACACAAAAAACACATTGAAAAATGCTGTCGAATACAACTGTAACATGGTCATTTATATGTTGTGACATGGAATATGCTGTTAAATTGAGTGATATCTGACCTCATTATTGAGGACACAATAGACCAGGAAGATGAAGGTTCCCTGCTGGGAGTTCAAGATAAGGAAGATGATCTCCAGCTCCTTCATGTCACTAATGAAAACACCCAGAATCCAGGGGCAACCAAGAATCACAAACTGAGCCAGTGTTTTAAAAGTCATAATCCTACAGAAAAACAGAGAGTCAATGATGGCATATATATATATATATATATATATACATAATTCACATTTTTCTAAGGAGTATGCAAAATCATAATGTTTGCTACTTGGATTGTTTCATCTGTGAAACTTCAGCATTCAGATTTTGGAGAGTTAAGTTCAGACTGATGATGATGTTGATGAAAAGAATCGTGTTTAACTGAAAAGTAGAAAATAACAATTAATCACCTTTTTTTCCCTTTAATATTAATTTAAATTAAGAGAAATAAGAAATATGCTTACTGCTAGTAAGACACAAACAGGACCCAGAAAACTCCAGTTAAAACCTTTATCCATTTTAATCCAGCAGCTGTTTAGAGGAAAAACACAAAATGATAACTGAATGATTGTCAAAAATACTATTTCTGGTATTGACTGTTTAAATATTTTGTGTTTAACTTTAATATAAAGTGCACTGTAAAAAAAAATACAGTAGTTTTGTTGTTTGTTTTACAGATTGTTCCTGTATTTATGAAATACAGAAAATATTGTTGTAACATCTTGCCTTTAAGCCGTTACAATTGATAACAGGAGTACAATTTCCAAATGTACGAACAGTCCATGCAAACAGATGTAGAAGCAAACAATGTCTTCATTTATTTTGTTCAATGAATAAAACCTAAACTCAAATAATAAATATAAAACTCAAATTCTGTTCCTGTCTTCTCTTTCTTCATGTTGAAAAACATTTCGGTTACATATGGTAAGGGAACGGAGACGTAGGTCATGACTGACCAATAGGAATCTCGCTAGAGAGCCAATTTACTTTGAGTGAATCTAAAACAAGCCAATGCACATTGGCGTGCAATCATTTGCGTCAGCGCGGGTATATAACGAGTAGCTGTTGCGATTGCGATAGCTGGTCTGAGGTCCTGATGCTTTGGGTTCTGTCCACGTGCATACACAGAGCGCGAACCGGACAGAGCAAAGCTAGGGCTGGGTCTGCCTCCTCCAAGGGCAGTGCTTGCAGGTTCACTACCTGGTCTCTGAAGGGAGTGGTAGGAACCTTGGGCACATAGCCAGGCCGGGGGCTTAATCAGTCCCTCCAGGATTTCGCGATGTCGCGATCGCAACTATTAACGCAACTTCAACAAATCCACGTGAATTCAGTGCGCCTTGCAATTTTGAAAAATCACCGCAACTTTTCTGCAACTTTGACAAATCATCGCGCCGCGGTCTCCTGCAAAGCGTCGTCATACGTCAGCAAACTCACTTTTGTTCAGAAGACGCCGCAGATGTGGACTGCCAACGTCTCACATTTAGGCTACCTACAAAAATAACAGAAAACTCCAATGTTGCCAACTTAGTTGTCGCTATATTTAGTGATATAAAAAAAAAGCGACTAGAGATAAATCTAGCGGCTTTTTGGACAAACCTCAGTAACCAAATTGCCAGCACAATCCTGCGAGCGCGAGGTTTGCTTTCTCCCTGCCGTCACACCTCTCTCTGCAAATGAGCAAATGAGATTTCAATTAAGCAAATGAGAACAGCTTTATTGGATATGCGGCTATATTATATTATATTAGCTATATTAAAATACATTATCAAACATTTGGTTTTTCCACCATTTAACTTTAGTGGCTATTCCTAAAACTGTATTTTGCACTTTATTAGTATTGGCATCTTTCAACATAAATGCTGCGTAATGTTTGTGAGGTTCTGCACATTGACTTTTTTGCAGGTGCAGATCTTGTTTAAAAAAAAAGAAGCTTAGTTTGTTAGGTTTTGCTGTGTCTTTAAATCGTTTGTTTTGCCTTTTATGGTTACTAATGGTTAGTTAGTTTGTTCGTGTGTTACAAAGTGTGTGACTTTGTCTCTTAAGTCAATTCTGGACTACAATAGAGCAGATGCAGATGATGAACAGTGTTTTCTGTGGGACATAATAAGTCCCTTTGGGGTGGACTTTGGACTTTTCTCTCTTAGTAAACCTATAACATGCACAAAAAAAATATAACAACACAATAAAGGAAAGGGGAAAAGCCAAAAAGCATAATATGGGCATTTTAAGTAAAAATCTATCTATCTTTGTCGTTTTAACCTATAAAAACATGCAAAAGAACATCGCAACTTTTATCGCAACTTTTTAAAAAAGCGGCCGCAACATCAGGCATTTTAGGCCGCAACAATCACAAAAAAGGCCCGCGAAATCCTGGAGGGACTGCTTAATACCACATGGCTGTCATCCGGCCCAAACTCTAGGCACGATTCGTCGACCAAAAATGCGTGCAGGTCTCCTACCCTCTTGACAGAGGCCAATGGAACCAGTAGCAAAGTCTTCATGGAGAGAAGCTTTAAGTCTACCGATTGCAGAGGCCCAAAGGGAACGTTCTGAAGTGCTCAGAGCACCAGGGAAAGATCCCAATGGGGTATGGCGGGGGGACGAGGAGGATTTAATCGTCTCACCCCCTAAGAAACTTGACGACCAGGTCGTGCTTTCCCACTGTTTTGCCACCCATGTGGTCGTGATAAGCTGAAATAGTGGCAGCATGAACTTCAAAGGTGAAGGGAGACAGTCTTCGCTCCAACCCCAGCTGCAAGAAGGAAAGTACAGACCCTATCGAACATCTTCAAGGGTCTTCCCGGAGAGAAGAACACCACTCGATGAACAGGTTCCACTTCAGGGCGTAGACATGTCTTGTGGACGGCGTCTGAGCTGAAGTGATGGTGTTAAGTACCTCTGGGGGTAAGTCACGTAGAACCTCCGCATCCCGTTCAGGGACCAGACATGGAGTTTCCAGAGTTCTGGACGCGGGTGCTATAGGGTGCCCCGTCTCTGAGTCAGAAGGTCCTTCCTCAGAGGAATGGGCCATGGAGGAACTGTCACAAGGAGCATAAGCTTGGGGAACCAGGTCCGAGTGGGACAGTAGGGAGCCAACAGAAGGACCTGCTCCTTGTCCTCTCTGACTTTGCACAGTGTCAGCGCAAGTATGCTCACTGGGGGAAATGCATATTTGCGAAGGCCCCGGGCCAGCTGTGTGCCAGTGTGTCCGTGCCAAGTGTTTCCTCGGTCAGGGAGTAAAACGGCTGGCGCCATAATAAACTTACTAAAAAACAACAACTCACTCTTCACTTCCGTAGCCTTTGGGATCCACCACAGCAGACACACCCACCACAACCAGACCAACCGTATAGCCAATCACCCACAGGAATCCACTGCTAAGCACCTCCCTCTTTTTGGAGCTGATCTGTGTTAGATTCTTCACACAGATGAAGAGCAGTACAGCTTCAATGAACATCCACACAAAGCCAGAGAGAAAGAGGAAGTGCAGCGCACCTGATATCACGGCACACAACACCTGGAGATCATGAGAGATGGTTATGATGATTCTCAGTGAGACTGTGCTGAGCTGTAGAGCTCCTTCATCATTCTCACCTGATGAGGGCGTATGAGCCTCAGGAACTGTTGTGTGAGCAGGAACAGAACGTGAGCTGACAGAAGACTGATGCAGAGGTTGATTCGAGCCACATTATTCACTCCAGGACTCCACTGACAAAGGGCAAAGGTCAACAGGGCCAAACTGAAGAACACCATCCCCACAGTCACACACACCAAATTCAACATGTCCAGCAGAGAGTCACTCTAAAAAAAAATGCCAGAGATCATGAGTGCTAAATCTGTGGTGTTCTTCAATGGTCACTATAAATGTTCTCGTACCTCTGATGGGCGGCTGGTTTGCATGATGAGAGCGAATGTCGACAGATGAACACATGAACACACAGTGTAGTTGCCGTTGGTCTCTAAAACAGAACAACCATCAACAATCCACTCACTGATCTTCCAGTACACACAGGACAGAGAACCGTTGGGGTCAAACTTCTGCAAAAAGAAGAAAGAACATGCAGAAAATATTACAACACTGAATAGTAGATGTTTTCAGATGTTCATCAGTTCTTAGGTTGGACAAAACACATTTCAGTCTCTCACTCTGATGTGTTTGAAGGTGAAGTTGACTGGTTTGGTGAGGTTAGTGTTGGTGGTTTTGGGAAGAGTAGCTGAGATCACAGTGGACATCATGGTTTTAACTGTGTCATTTAATGTGTTGAAGAATTCTGGCTTCAGTAGATTCTCCATTGTGTTATAACTCATGAAAGCCACAGCAGCTGATCCTGTGTGAAACAGAAGCTTACATGCAATACTACAATACAACATACAAACAATTAAAAAAAATAAAAAAATAAATAAGGCTCAGTGGAAATAGTATATCTTATTCTAATATTGTTTTAACCCTACAGAAACATCTCACATACTTGTTTCATTGTTGTTCTTGGCAATCCCAATGAGATCAATGTCAACAGAAGAATTTGTTGTGTCAAGTCGAGGGATTTTATCTAAGGTGACCTGTGGTCCAACCATGAAGACTTCAACCTCTGATAAACACAAACAGTTGCATAATATATTAATTTATTCTTAAACTTTTTTTGAAGGTCCCATTCCATTCAATTTGCACAAAATGAAAACACATCACTTTATTTGTTTGTATTTCTGATGTAGTTTGAATTCTTCAGGTTTACTTTAATTTAATATGCTAAGTTAATACATGTAAATGTAAGCTCTATATTAACTGTAAGTTCATCTGGAGGCCAAGGTTAAATCTTACTGTACACTGTATACTCAAGTGCTTCAGTTTCAAAAAATGGTCATGTTTTTTATTTCAGGATGAGTGTTTTTCAAGACACAACCCAGTCAGATCAGAGTGACATCACACCATTCTCACACAGTGATACAGTGTCAGTAATATATGAGCTCATTGTGAATTCAAAATGTTGATCAGGTTGAGAGATGGTGGTTCAAATATCAGGGGGAGGGGGGGGGGGATTCTACTTCCTCTTTCTCAACACTGTCACAGTGATGTCACATGGTGAGCTTACCGCATGAGTGCACACACATCTAACAGATTTTTCTTATAAGAATGTTCTCCAAACTTAAAACTGACTTCCAGCCACAGCCTTAGATGAAATAAAAAAAAACATTACATCTGTGAAGATCTCAGCAGAGGAGGATTAAACAACTCCACAAACAGCATTAGCAACTTCACTTATTACTAACCAGACTGACTTTATTTCTGTCAGATATCTACACAAGTTCTTATTGAGAATTAACCTCCTAAGACCTGATTGTCCACATACGTGGACATCACATTATTGGTTGTGTGCACATTACTTAATTCTGTGCAGAGGTGGAAAGTCCAGGGGTCAGAAAGTAAAAGTTCTGCCATATTTGTATTTCACCCACAGCAAAAACTCCAGTGTTAAATGAACTTTACTCTGAGTTTATTTGGACCCAGATTCAAGAGTGTTAAAATTAATGAGATAATTAAGTAAATAATTGAGTGATGATTAAAGACACCAGATGTTAACTAGCAGAATCACTGGAAGGAGAAAATCTATATTTTAGTCACCATTATGGTGGTCAGCGTTTGCTTTAGTTGGGCAGGTTATCTTTAAATTAGGGCTGTGCAAAAATTAATTGCGATTAATCGCATCCAAAATAGAAGTCTGTGTTTACATAATATATTTGTGTGTGCTGTATATAATTATTTTGTATATATAAATACCTATGCATGCATGTATATATATATTTAAGAATTATTTGTGCTTAAATTCTGTATATGTATATAAATACATAATCTATATTATATAAATATAAATATTTTATATACGAATAACACATTTTCTTAAATATATACATGCATGTGTGTGTATTTATATATACAAAATAATTATATACAGCACACACAAATATATTATGTAAACACAGACTTTTATTTTGGATGCGATTAATCGCAATTATTTTTTGCACAGCCCTACTTTAAATGTTTAACTAAAGATTTTGTTTGGCTGTTTTAACAGCTGGGTGAACAAAGAGATCAGAGCAGATGTTCTAGATCATGTTTAGACATAATCATCATTTGACTTGAATTACCAAACTTGTTTAAAGCCTACTCTCTGATTTAAATGTATAATGATCATAAAAGCATCACAGTGATTCTATAACATTAGATCCAGATTTTTCAAAATAAACCAATTGATATCTTAAACATTGTTCTGATAAATAAAAATCTTTTAGGCACACACAGACATCAAGATACAGTGTATGAATCTCAACAATGGTGACAAACAGAATATTCAATTAAGGAAAGGAAATTATTAAGACAATTCAGATCATACTTATTTCATACCGCGATGCATGATGGGAGCCATGAATGAGTTTTGATTGGTGGCACCCATAATGCACTGCAACATGCTATATAATTGTCACCATTGTTGAGAATCACAGGCTGATTCTTGATGTCTGGGTGTGCCCATAAAGTATTTAAAATAGAACAGCTTTTAAAAAATCTTTTGGATAATATTTACATTTCTGAAAATGTTATACTGTGTAATCAAAAGGTTAAACTCTACAAATGAGTTTTTGTTACAAATGATAATTGTGTCAAAACACAGCGCATCAGCTTTCCTTGTTGTTCATCTAGCTGTTATAACTCATGTACAGCAGCCAAACAACATCTATAGTTAATGATTTAAGGAGCCCAACTAAAGCAGACACTGATCGCCATAACGGTGACTTAAAAAATTTGATGTTCTCATTCAGTGATTCTGCTTGTTATCATCAGGTGTCTTCAATAGTGTTCAATCATCACTCAATTATTCATTTAATTATCTCATTAACCTTAACACTCTTGAGTCTGGATCCAAATAAATGCCCAGTAAAGTTCATTTAACACTGGAGTTTTTGCTTTGGGTGGAATAAAAATGTGGCAGTACTTTTACTTTCTGACTTTCTAGACTTTCCACCTCTGACCAAAACTTGGGTCTTAGGAGGTTAACAGAGGTTTAGATGTTTTATTGTTTGTTTGACGTTATCATCATGGTGATCAGTGTTTGCTTTAGTTTGGCTTGTAACCCTTGACTTTTAGATTTTACTGGCTGCCGTAACTGTTTGTATGATGCATTTGTAATGTCCAAAAAAGCTTGTATTGACATGGTGCTGGTTTGTTAATAATAATTACAACATAATTTTCACCTAGATTCAGTATGCAATCTTAGTATGGTGTTATTGCTTAGCACCTTACAATATTACTCTGATTATACAGTATGAGATGCAAGTTTCAAAATCACGTATAAAGAACGTTGAATGTGTAACAAAACTCAAACAATGCAACTAATGTGTCATTGAAACAAAGAGACATCAAGAATCAGTGTACGAATCTCAACAATGGTGATGATCAAAAGCTTCATGCTTTCATTTACAGTTATTCATTTTAGCTCACACTTTTATCCAAAATGACTTACAGTTGCTACATACTGTATGTCAGAGGGAACAAGGGTTTAAGTGTCTTGCTCACTGACACATTGCTGTCACACAGTGGATTCGAACCCAGGTCTCTCACACCAAAGGCCTGAGTCTTATCCATTGTGATCTCACATTGGTGCTCATTTATCATACTTGCGTAGAAACGGGCGTATATGTTGGCGTAAGATTATGCTTACACTCCTCTCACCGCCTGATTTATGAAGCTGTGCATACCTTTGAAATCCAGGTGTACACAATGCCTGCCCTTGATAAATCCTGTGGCTGAAAACGATCGTTATTAGAATAACACGGCCCTAAATATTCAAGTCTCCGCTTCTCCCACACCCTCATTTTATGCCATGATGTACACACGGAAGACGGAAAAGAAGAGACACTTCTCTGACATGGAGTCGAAATGACCTATCACAATGCATTCTTTTACAGCACGTCTTTTGAATTAGCATTCAATTTTGAATCATGGCACATGTATAATAGTGATGATGATCATTTGAAAGCCTTCATTACTGAACCCAGTCTGTGCGCACCTGCCGAGGATAATCTTGAGACATCAGGGTAAAGCACACAGGCTCGCAACTGAAGGAATAATATGCTTACAAATCAAATGTTTTGGTAAAGTCACACAATATAAACATTGAAATCCATGTTGCACAAAAATAAACACTGAAGTTTATAATTACAATGTTTTTTTGTTGTTTTTTTTCAGTGGGTCATAATATATCATATCTTTTAGTTCGTAGTCAGTTCGTTTTGTGGTGTTAGGAATTTTTCTGCGCATTTCCGCAGTAACTTAAAATGTGCGTACACCACCTCCTGAGCTGTTGTAGGATTTGAGCGTGCCGTACGCCAAGGTCCATATTGATAAATCACCGTGGTTTTGGGTGTACGCTGGAAATTTAGTGTACGCACTTTTTAAATGAGGGCCATTGTGACCATAGTATGAGCACACAGTGAGGACACTGTGACGGTACACTTTTAAATCACTGTAAGATTGTTGACTAGGAACCTGTCCATCAGTCATCTGTCTAATTTGAAGAGCTTCTACCCCATGATGAATGACATTGCACCAACATACTGACCTTTGACATCAGCAACATTAATTTAAAATACAGGTAGGTGGTGAAACCTGTTAGGCATTTCTGCATGTCGCACCTCCACCGGTGCCTAAGAACTAGGGGTGTGACGAGAATCTCGTGAGACTAAAACATGACGATATTTCCCGTTTCGCGATATCGCCATGACTGAGTGTGGGGGTGAGATTACAATATTCCACCATTACTGTACACTCACATTCGCTTAAACTATCATTTTGCTGTTTTTATAATAAGTAATAACTATTATAAACTAATGAAAAAGTCTGCTCTGCTCATCCATTACGAGTTGCCTTTGCAATCAGTGCAGCACGAATCACAGTTCACTGATCGCTTGACGATGGCGGAGGATTCGTTGCGCAACATAGACAAAACGTGATAATGTCTTATCTTATAATGCACGCTCAGAACCGCTGCTCCCTATACACAAAATACGCGCAATCACCAATTTGAAAGTAAAACGGCGCTGTGCGCTGTCAAAAAAAAAATTTACACAGCCATATCATGTGAAACGTTGGCTACGTCCACATTAATCCGCATACATTTGAAAACAGGGTTTTCGTTTAAAAACGCTCTCCGTCCACACTAGCGTTTTCAGGTGTTTTCCGACAATTCAGTGTGGATGAGAAACTTCTAAATTCACTTTACTGCGCATGCGTGAAACTTCACAAAAGCTCACTGAGATGATACAGATGGGAAAATAAATAATAATGTCATCGCACAATAACAGGATAATTTTATTTAGCAAAATATCTCACCATCACTGATGCGGCCAGGTCGCATTCAGTCACCATATGTTTGGTCTAAAACGCAACTGCTCTCCTGTTTTGCCGCAGAAGAGCAAATGTGAGTAGACTACATTATCTGTCATCTTTGCAGTACTGTGCTATGAAGAATAGCACATATTAAGTAACATAGAAAGTAACATATTTTAGCAATAGTGTAAAAATGATTCACATAACAGACACAATACCGATAAACATGAATATCTATTGGTACAACATGGATCACATGACTAAACTTACGTCATCGATTTGAAATACCTCCAGTTTCACTGTCCACACTACAACGCGAAAACGGCGTTTTCAAATTTATCCACTTTGGAGAGCGTTTTCCAAACGATACGTTTTTGTTGACTTAAAACGCTGTCTCAGTGTGGACGGAAGGCCAAAACGGAGAGAAAAATATACGTTTTCAAACGAAAACGTATTAGTGTGGACATGGTCGTTGTCTTGCGGGTCTTGCGCACCCAACTTGTCATTTTTGATGACATGACAGGATGTTACTCCGTGTCAGCGCGCACTCTGATCGGGTGCACAGATCTCTCCCAATCATCTCCTGCACTCGGCCTCCGAAGCCCCACTAACTCCCCCTCCGTTTCCCCAAAGCCCGTCGGTTTCCCTCATAAGCTGATATTAGAGTATTTAGGCCCCGTCCACACTACTGCGTTTTCGTTTAAAAACGGAGAATTAAAACGAAAACAATCTCCGTCCACACACTAGCGTTTTACCTGCGTATTAGAATTTATCTCCGTCCACACTAAAACGACTGAAAACGTGGATCACGTGATCATTCACCAACACTGGGCATGCGCGCGCCGGTGTAAACAGTGGTTGGCGAATCAGGGAAAGATACGTCATGACTGATGACACCCAATCATAGAGCCGAGCGTGAGCCTCTGCGTCATCGTTTGTAAACTCCTCCGTTTTGTCTCGTCCACACTCACGCCGCCTTCACACTGGCAGTTGAAATCAGCTCCGTAATACGCAATCCGTTCCCAACGGACGTCGTACTACACAGTGAAAAGCGTCGGACACGGGTAGAACAAAAATGGCGGAGAGATTAAAGTTTGATTCTGTCAGTTCTGTATGATCTCTCTGATTAGGGTTATGCTGCGTGAGGAAAGTTGCTCAGGACGTTGACATGTCAGGTCGGCTAAAAAATGTGATATAGTGGTCAATAGTTCAATGTCTACCTTCAATTTAATTGTATTAACTGCCCTTATAAACGTTAGAAGGTCATGAAAATAAAAAATGACATCACAACTTATCGTTATAAAATCAATATTTATTTTATTAAAAGTTAATAATTCAGGTTTGTTTATCAGTACCATAGCAACGGTCAACTTCCGCTGGAATTGTCGGATAGGAACCGTCCGTAGCTTTTCGCAAGAGTTCAAATTTTTGAACGCATCCGGATGACCAACGGACACGATTTTCTTCGCACCGCACTCGGTCAGACCCGTTTCGGACCCATTCGCATGCGGTCTGCGAATCTCCATAGGAAATGAATGACTTCCGGTCGTTTCGCAGCCGCATCGGAGCTGATTTCAACTGCCAGTGTGAAGGCGGCGTAAAACGCCCTCCGGAGATTTAAAACGCAAAACGCAGCTGCAGCGTTTCTAAACTTCTCCGTTTTAGGTCTTCGTTTTTCCCGTTTTAGTGTGGACGGGAGGTGCAAACGTAGCAAAAGGTCTCCGTTTTTAAACGAAAACGCAGTAGTGTGGACGGGGCCTTAAACATTCTCTATGGTATTTTTTTTTTTAAATGACACACTGTCTCTTTCTCTCTCACACATATGTAGGCTAGTTATAAATTCTTTAGACTTTTAATTATTAGTGTTTTATTTTAAGTTTGTGGGAAAGAATTGTGTAAAAAAAAAATCCCTCATTTCGGGGATGGAATCGAGGAAATCTCCCTTATTTTCAATGTTCAATGTTGACAGCTATGCTTTGAATATTGAGAGTACTGTACTGTCTTAAGGACAGCAGATGAGGGAGGCTTTGTTTCTGAACTTATAATTGGAACCCAAGAAAAACAAGAGACAAAACACACCAGCCTCGTCTCTCTCTACCATTTCCGAAATCGTGGGGTTAACCCTGTAACTGCCGGTGCAAAATAAAACAGCAATTTCAAAACAATTATAAAGAGTCTGTGAGCTAACTTTGATTATGGTTGCACTTGCGTTTATTGTTTGCACTTCAGACTTCAATGAGTTCAGTTAGGAGGTCACACACAGCCTCAATCAAAAGTTCTGGAAGCTCTTAAATGTACAGTAAGGTCTGAAGATACTCATGTGAACTCAAACAGGAGAAAAGCCAGTCAATAAAAACCTTTTACAGTGCTTGTATATTGTTTTCTTTCAATGCATTTGATAATTCATACTCATAAAGTAGACCTGAAATGACATGCATTAGTGCATTATTAGTTAAAAGATTGCAAAATGCACCTGCATACTATTTTTCCAGTCATGAATTTTGTCATTGAGGATTTCTGAAAAATTGTGCAAAAATCTCGTCTCGTTCTCGTGAACCCAATCTCGTGTCCGGTCTCGTCTTGTGAGATAGGCGTCTTGTTACACCCCTACTAAGAACTGTTTTCTGTTCTCTTTTAAAACATTTGTAATTCTTCACATTATATAGTTACTGCAGCTGAATTTATCATCGTCACCGTCTGACACCTGTGATCCACCGCTGCTTTCTAGACTATATAAACTTCCAGATATCATATATAATCTCAGTTTCATCTTAAGTAATAACAGTTTCTTCACTCACCTACAGCTGAAAGAGTAAAACTGACAGCTTCACTTGTGTTTGTCGGCTTCACCAATGTAGAGATGAGTTTCTCACTGGTTTTTAAGATAAGGTTTCCATGGGAGGCGAGTTCAGCCGGGCTGACTGATGATGATGATGAAGATGACTCTAAAATCTTCCCTGAAGCGTTGAAGGCCATCGTCAAAATACTGGTCACAGTCTAATTTATTAATCAGATGAATAGTTTCAAAGTAAATGTCAAGAGAGCAAATAAGACAGCAATGTGTTGTCAATCATTATCTACAGTTTACAACTGACAAATTTTTAATTACTTGATTATTTTTCTCTTCAAGACTTACATTCACAGAGAGCACTGAAGATGTGATGTTCTCGATCTGCTCAAGAAGATTTTGTAAACAGTCCAGACTCTGAAATCACAATTGTGAAAGGAGTAAGCTATTTGTTGATTTTGATCATGTTTTTCGATATTAACAGAGAGCCAAAAATGTATTGTTACTGCACTGAATGTCACGGTGAAGGTACAGTGATGTTAGAACAGACACACAACACTAATCTAGCAACAATAAATAGAACAGCACATTTATTTTTTTTTCACATTTCATTGCACTATTCCCTATGAACTTATAAACCATTTCCAATCCAAAGTTGCAAATTGACAAAAAATAAATAAATAAAACACGACACTTCCTGAAAAAACTTGCTCAAAACATCAATAATTAAAATAGAAGCTGCTGCAACAAGAAAATCTCAGCTTAGGTTAGGGGGATGTATGATCAATAATCAATAATTCACAATCAATGATTAATCATACAGGTTATGAGACGTTATCCCCAACACTGCCATTTCTCGTCCAAAGAAATGTTATACATATAATCATACATTATACAACATGTTCATATATATACAGTATACATATATATATATATATATATATGGCTTGGTCAGACAAAGAGGATTCTTAAGGTATCAAGAAAGACATGTAATGTAACAAGAATGCAAAGTTACATTAAAATGCATGACTATAGGCACTTATTATTAATTTCATAGTACAATACAATCATAACTAGACTAATAGGAACTGGGAAACATGCAAACACATAGGAATATATTGTATACATTTGGCAATGGCTCATTTTCTGGGTTTAATGTAAAAGTATTTGTGTGTGTGTGTGTGTGTGTGTGTGTGTGTGTGTGTGTGTGTGTGTGTGTGTGTGTGTGGTGTTGGAGAGAGCTTTCTTTTCCTTTCCTGGACCTAGGAGAGCCGATTCTGGGACCCTGGTGCCAGAAGACACATTCCACGGGCCAATAAAAGGTGTTGAAAAGCGATCTCATTCCGACAAGTCGGCACCATGCTGGTAATTTAGATTATCACGAGTCCTGATTTACATTCACAAGTTCAGAGTCTAAAAGCTTTGGGTTTTAGAAGAAATGTGCATGACTCATGATTCTTTCAGACATTAATCATTTTAATATTTTTTTATCTTCTTTCTTATATATATATATATATATATATATATATATTTTTTTTTAATAATTCATAATTTTTATATATATATATATATATATATATATATATATATATATATATATATACACGTATATAACACTTTTCTTGGCACTCAAAGCACTTTACATAGAAGGGGGGAATCTCCTCAACCATGGTATATGATGAAATGTATCTGTCCAGTTATCCAATCACATAATCTTATGCAATATCCCAAAATTTGAAAACAACAACACATGGATGGAAACATTGCCACTGAGATGAGCTATGGGTTCAACTGTAAAGCTGTAATTTCAGAAACTCAACTTACGGTGCATCCTTCCGCCAGCGTTATGTTTATACCTGCAATGACAAAGTAAAGTTCTATTTATATTGTGTTTTATTCATTTTTAACTGAGTCCAGATCGAGTGGAAGTCAGTGTCTCACTTTTAAACTGTTGTGATGTTGCTCCATTAGGAGCAGAACTCATGTTACCAGCACATAAAACAGCACATAAGAAATCACAGTGCTAAACTGGATGGATGCAACCGTAATTGACCATTCAATACCATATGTGGGAATGAAGAGACGTTCCCTGTGGCCATTTTTTTTCCTTCATATATGGACATAAAATCTTAATATCTTAATATCATACATCTCAATTAATATACAGCTTGTGTTCTGAAGCAAGCAAGCAAGCAACTTTATTAATATAGCACTTTTTTTAAACAACAGACGTTGCCCCAAAGTGCTTTACAGAATAATAACATGAAAATCATACAACAAAACGGACATGCTTTATTCAAAGGCTAAAGAAAATAAATACGTTTTTAAATAAGACTTAAAAGTTGTAATCGATGGAGCTTACCTTACATTGAATGGCAGACTATTCCAAAGTTATTTGATAGTTTCAAATGTGAAGCTAGCACGTTGATAAAATAAATCAGGGTTTGAAACCCTATGAACAGCCTGTGAATAGCCAATCGTTAGTAGCTATAATGCAGGCAAAAAAATGCATATTTATAGCCATATCCAGGCTGGAGAGGTGTGAATGTGTGCATGGGGAGACAGAGACTGAATGGGGGATTGTTTGCACCACAAAACAATAAAGACGAATAGACTGAATAGATGACTTAGAAGATGACTAAACATCAGTTTGGATTTTAAAGTCTAATCAAAATTAAGTAATTTGACATGATCTTGAAAAACATGTAACTAAATACAGAGTTTTAGACTTATCATTTTCAGATTTTAAATATAAAATGCTCACACATATGGCTTTAGCTGCAGTGCATCTCTAGATTGCTACAGGGCCAACTTCAATTTTATTTTCATGAAGATGTTTCATAAAAATAAAGTTCTAATAACTTTACATAACATTGAAGCTATTTAAAAAAAAAATATTTTTCATTATGACAAAAATCATCATGTCCAATGATCCACAAACGAACCATCATGTCCATCAATCAATCATGTCCAACGTTCCACTGGAAGTGATCGCTTGCGTGTGTACGTCACTTATTGTTTACACAGGGATTTTGGAAGTTTTACCTTTCACTAAACATATTTAGATATATCAAAATCTTCTTCCATTGTGATTTCCTGTTTATCTAAATATGTTTAGATCTTCACAGTGAAAGGTAAAACTTCCGAAATCTCTGTGTAAACAATGAGAGACGTACACATGCAAGCGATCACTTCCGGCGGAACGTTGGACATGGTTCAGTTCGGTTCAGTTGGACATTGAACAAGTGATTCAGATCAGTTGGACATGGCTGTGGTTAAACGAGGTAAAACGATATAAATACCGTTCATTTTCTCACACAAACCGCGCGTTTTGTGTCTTAGGCCATCAACGTGCACTAACAATTAAGAGTAATTAAATCATAAATGTAAGTACACATTAATGGCCTAAGACATTAAATGTTTCGTTTCATTGACTTCTCTATGCATGCTCTTTTAGAATATCCCCATAGACTTCCATTATATGACTGATAGACAACAACGGTTTGACCGGAAAATGTCAAAATTGAAAATACTGTGGAAACAAAGACACCCCAGATAGCAAACTGACATTGAATTAACGTGGAAATATGACATCGAAACAACGTTGATCTGACATTGTTTTGCTCATCGAATTAACGTTGAACCAACGTCAGACGCGTCATTCTTTCAAAACTAACGGAAAATCAACTTGAAATCAATGCGTTGTTTCAACGTTATGAAAGCAAACCAATTTTCGATTTTCATTTAGCTTTGAAGAATGCCGCATCAGACGTTGGTTCAATGTTAATTCGATGAGCAAAATCAACGTTGTTTCAATGTCATGAGAGACGTTGTTTCCACGTTGATTCAATGTCAGTTTGCTATCTGGGACCTGCATCTTGGATGCCCTTGAGGTAAGCTAAAACATATCAAAAATTAATTTTAAAGTGAAATATCCCCTCAGGTGCTCTTCGGTCATTTATGACCGGAAAATTTTCTGTTTTGAATTTCTAAAAATCACAGCTTCTTCGGAATGTTATGAAACTTGGTGACTTATATGGCATTAGGTATGTGAATAAAAAAAAAATGAGGTCATGATTCGAGCATGCTAAGTGGTCGTAAAAAAAATAGTCACACTTGTGGTCTTTGGTCAAAAATGACCTACCCTTAGGAAATGAATGGGAAATTGACCAAAAAAAATTCTCTGAATTTTTGTATGTACAATCTACAAATCGACCACAATTCCAAAAAAAAAACTACGCCGCCGGAAAGGGGTGACACTCTACAACATCTAGAGTGCAAAACAGACACACCCACCAACACATACACGCACACACACATACAAACACACTTTTATCAGTCCTTCCAGAAAAACGCTGAGTTTTTTTGTGATTGTTGCGGGCAAAAATCCTTTATTACGCGGCCCGTTTACTTTAAAAATGCAATAGAATATGTGGGATATTTATGCAATTTTATGCAATGAAATTGCAGGAACTTGCAAAAATTGCGGGAACTTGCAAAAACTGCGATGAAAAAGAGAAAAAAAATGATTCCCCCAACACCCTGTTCTCACTAGGCTACTACCTTAATGTAAAGAGTCATTTCTTATTACTTCCTTTGATAAGCAAGCATACTACATCATAGAAAGTGCTGGAAATATTTAATTTCTCATCTTGTTTTATTTCAGACTGTAACAAGTGTAAGGTGCGGCCACTTTAAACGCTGCACGCTCCCTGTTGAAGTGTTATATGTGCGCCTCGAACACCCCATGTGTGCGGGTAATTTCTGTTTGATGCTACTTCTTTTATCTTAGTAACGATGTGACGGTAGAACGTGTGACAGACAGTTATACGAGTTCGATTTGTGAGATGTCAGTCGCCTCCGTGAGTCTGTATGGCCTCTGCAATAACTTCAGCTGTGAGCTATCCCGTCGCGTAATTGCGTCACTTCATAACGTTCCCATGGAAACAGGGGGAAATGGCTGCTCTTGTGTGAAGCAAACGCAACATTTTTCAACTTTCTGCTGAGATATATGTGACTTTTTTGCAACGAAAATGCAAGGATTATGAAATCATGCAAAGCCTGCATATTTTGCATGGAAATCGGCAATTTATGCCGATTAATTTTATACACATACACAACAATAAATTTTGATTGCAAAAAGTATGTTTCGAATTTTTAAAAATCACAGCGTGTTACAAAACTTGGTGACTTTTATGGCATTATGTATGTGAACACACAAAAAAATGAGGTCATGATCTGAGCATGCTAAGTGGTCTTAAAAAAAATAATCACACTTGTGGTCTTTGGTCAAAAAATGACCCCCATAGAAAATGAATGGGAAATTGACAAAAAACCACAAAAATTCTCAATTTTTAATTAATTTTTTATTTATTTATTTATTTATTTTTTAAAAAAGATATCGTTTTTGAGATTGTTTTAACTATATATTCAAATCCACCAAAAAAAAGTGTTCATAAACAGCTGGGGAATTCACATGCCTCTCCATAGAGAGCTGTACATGCCATCTAGTGGTTACACCATGATTCTACGCTTTTTCTCTATACTGTAACCAGATGGTGCTAATTTTCTTTAAAAAAAAAAAAAAATATATATATATATATATATATATATATTTTTCCATGGCAAAAATAGACAATTAATATTGCAAAGATATTAATAAATTCAATCAAATTGTCTCAAAATACTAAATTAAAAAGAATAAATATTATAGAACAAAAATAAATTGCATTGGTTTTACTGGGATGGAGGAAATTTCATTTTCAGGTGTTCGGTCACTTCTGACCGGGAAGGCGCAGGATGTGACTCCGAAACGAAGAGCACCTGAGGGTTAAGTCTCTAAATTTGTATTTTGTGAGAGTTATTAGAACTCTCAAAGGGGTAAATGTAGTGTTACAAATTTATTAAATGTTTAATTAGGTTCCAGTAAAAAGTATATAAAACGAAAAAGTTTAGTAGACTGAATTTAGCATTTGGGGTATAAATGATGATTGTATCAGAGTTTCAGCTGTGAAACTGTCCAGTCACGTTATATTGGTCAGATTACTGAAACTCTTACTGGCTCTTGGAGCTCATGTCTCAGCAAGAGAGTCCTGCCAGTCTTGTTCTCTCAGCGTTTGAATGGTTATGCTGATTGGATTGGGAGTGGGGTGGCTCTCGGTCTAGGACAAGTTTCCTGAAATGGAAGCTTTAGCGTTAAGTTCTGCCAGGAAGACTCAATAATTACCTTCTTATCTATCCAATCGCGTCTAATACTTGCAGTATAAAAGACCGGTACTTACACATGTTTGAATTCGCAAATGCTGACGCTTTCATTGACCTCCATCCTCCCCACCACCTCTAAGATGGTTCCTTCCCTTCCATCCTCCCCACCACCACCAGGATGGTCCCTTCCTATACCTCCCAGGGGGTCGGCCGCGCCCCTGCCTTTGTCTTCAGGCAGGAAATGCAGAGTCCGGACCCTCGGATTGCGAGCTATGGACGGGGCCTACGCCAAAGAACTTAATTGCTTGCTGGGCTATCAATAAATGTATTTATTGTTACAGTATTTATTCTCCCGAGTCTTTCTGGTAGAACTGGTGTATTCATTTACATGTGAAGCCACAGAAACAACAACAACAAAAAAAACAGTTAATACTTACACAGCATGACAAAGAAGATAGTTAGTTCTCTTTTAAAACCTGTCATGAAATAAAAAATAAATAAATAAGAAAAAACACTTGAAAATGTGTTGGACTGTAGCCTAGTGGAATTTAGAGTTTGAGAAAACTACATTCATCATCTGACCGCAGTTCATAAAGGATTTTTGGGCAGAATGAACTAGTCTTTGCTAATTATGACAAGAAAAAAATTACCTTTATGAAGGGAGGAATCCATTGACAATTTTGGAAGTCCGATATTTCCCTTTCTCCAAAAGCCAGGAAGACGAGTTTTCTTTTTTCGGTTCAGAGGAAAAAAAACAAATGAGATTTGGTATTGATGCATGACTTCTGTTTGTGTCCCCTCTGTTTTCAAAACACTTCCACTGAATTTATCCATTTACATACTGAAAGAGATGACAATTGTAAACATTTATAGTTTGAAATGAATGAAAAGTGCCTATTAAGTTAAGCAATTAAATTAAGAAATTAAGTTGAGCATCTGAATACTTCAGGAACATTTCCAAAACTGATCGCAGAAATTATATCATATAATCATGTAATCATATCACAAACTGTGAGTCAAAAACTATATATATATATAGAAGATCTACTTATGCACTGGAAAAAAACTGTAGAAACAGTTTTACTCATAAATTGCTAGTAAAGTTGACAAGTAATTACAAAGAATCTGCCAGTAATACATTGAATAACAGACATTTTCAAGCACAATAATTTATCAATATTAAAATCACACACTATAAATTGAGTATTATTATAGATATGCCGTTTCAACCATTTTTTTCCAGTTCAACCACATTTCTAAAAATCAGAACATGAATAGAATTACTCCAAATCACCCCTCAGTCCATTATCACACATCATGTTTGATGTACAAAGACTGATGAAAATCATTATGAGCAGAAAGAAGATCTTACCTGATATAATCTGACATACAGTGATTCTCACCCGACACGACTGACTGAACAAGATATGTGTGTGTTGAGATGTTTATAGAGAAGAAGTTATCTGTCCATCATTACCATAAGTCCACTGTTATCTCGTCATAATCAAATTTAAATAAAATATTTACATGACAATATAGCTCACATGTTTAGTGACCTTCTACAGAATCTTATGTGTAATTCAATATTAGGTTTTTATCAGTTTTAGCCCAAGGACTCCAAATGGACTGTTGGAAATGGACTCCAAAAGGACTCCAAATGATGTTGCGGTAACGTTGGCAGCTGCGTTTTTTTTTTTTTTTTTTTTTTTCTCTCAACTTCCCAACATTCTCTTCTTAACATTTCAAGTCTCATCCATCCCTCAAACTATGATTAATAGATCCAATAATAACTATAAAGGCAACAAAAAAGGGATTTATAGTGAATAATTTACTGACTGTAAATATGCTTATGTACACTTTGAGACCAGAATTTCTGTCTATTTATTTTTGAATGATTACTGATTAATTAACTTGACATAACTCAGAGATTTTTGTAAATTGCATATTTCAATCTGTGAAATATATATTGATTGAATATACATGTAGCAGATTAAAATAATTCTGTTTTGTTTAAATTTGAATATTTTAATAGTTTTGGATCATTTGAACAGTCCGTCACAGGAAGGAAATGGAAGAATAGTAACAGATTAAACAACTGCCTCTAACATTTCCCTCTAAATCCCAGACTATCAAAGTAAGAATAGGACCTGTATTGAATTTTGTGCGAAAAAAACAAAAACAAAAACAGTCATTCCATTAGTCCAATAGGAATCTACACAGTCTAGAGATTCACATGATGGTGAAATCACATGATTTTGCTGTGCTGACCAATTACCAGAAAGCTGGTTGTTTTGGGAGTTATTTCTGTGAGTGCTGCTTCATACATTGCTACACTTCCCCCATGTGAAATGTTGCTAAACTGCCGCTGATGTACATCATACTCATACAATCGTTCTACAACATATCTTCCTTTGTGTTCAGCAGAAGAAAGAAACTCATACAGGTTTGCAACAACTCGTGGGTGAGTAAATGACAGAATTTTAATTTTTGGTGGAGGATCCCTTAAACATTGGCACGTCTGATTCACTTCAGTGAGAAGCTGATTTCAAATCCATTCATCTCTTAATAGTGCTCCCAAAGTCCTTTTACAGCTATTTTTGTTAGTAACCGTAGTTTAAAGAGAAACAGCTGAACTGTAAACCGATCACCACGGCTTCTGAGGAAGATGCATTTGCATTCAGTCTAGAATAACACACAGACCTCACATATACAAAAACTGTGGCTGTTTTCGTCAAACATTATTTACATAATTTCAGGAATATACTGAATATCTTTGGTGTATCCTTTATAAGTAAAAAAGGGTTGTATTGTTTGACAGTAAGTTAAAAACCAGTATTCAAATGCTCCAATAAAGAACAACATTGTGTACAAATAGGACAACTAGAGTAAAATATCCAATTTCACAAGAGAAAACATATTTTAACATCTCACTTATTTAAATAAGGAAAACAAGAGTTGGTGATTTACAATGGACAACCTTTTCACTGTTATAATGCTGTTTTGATTTGGTCAGTATGGTAACACTTTACTTGAAGGGGTTTGCATAAGACTGAAGGATGAAGGAAGTTTTATGCATGTTTATTTGCAAGTGTCATTTGCTCAACATTGACATTTTAATGCAAATTTGACATTGTTTGAGATGTCTTGTTATGACAACTTGACATAAACCAATACATCATAACCTGTCAGTGTTTTTGTCATGACAACTTGACATTATTAAGACAACACAACCTATATATCATAAACAAGACATAGCACATTAATTATCAAACTTAAGAAACTTAATCGGTTAACATTATATGTGGTTGGTTTTGATATTGGCTGTCATGACGCCATTTTAACTGTGTTTAACTGTCAACACTTTCTTTGACAAAATAAAGGGACAGTGTCAGGCAGTACTTTTTCAGCTGGAGATTTGGGACCCACTCCTCCTCGTCCCCCTCCTGAAAGGTGTGTCCTCATGCTGTAAATAGTCCAACTGAGGAGGGAGCTGGAGAAGGACGTAACCAATCAAGGGCAGGCAAAAGGGTCCAAGTGGAGGGTGCGATGAGCCAGTGGAGGGTGCGACGAGCCAGGAATAGTAGGAGCCAGAGGGGAACCCCAAGTCCAGCCTGGATGATGCCCATGGCAGAGTCAAGGAAGCGAGGAGCCATGGTGGAGATTTGGCTGTCGACTCCAAGGGGAGAATGGGACAAAGATGGAGCTGCTGAAGATGAAGACACAGGTGGAGCTGATGAGCAGAAGAACCCATGCAACATTGGTGGCTGTGGAGACTGAGGCGGAGCCACAGAAACAAGTGTCCAAGGTGGAGTCAGGGAGCCAAAGGACTAAGTCGGAGCTGATGGGACTGAGGACCAAGGCAGAGCCAAAGGGAAGCTGGAGCAAGACAGAGTCGAAGGCACAGCAGATGGAGCCCAGTGAATCCGCAAGGATGTTAATTTCTTGGTGGAGCCAAGAGAGGGAAGAGTCAAAAGGCCGAGGTGGAGTGATGGGTTTGGAGGCAGGAGGCAGAACTACAGGATCCTCCTGACTAGGTGGGGCTGGAAACTGGTCCAGACCGAGGAGGAGTGATGGGTTCGGAGAAGGGCTGGGCGATATGGCTGAAAACTTTATCACGATATCATTGTTTCATATCGGTCGATATCGATAATTATTGATTTTTTTTTATGACCCATTAAAAATAAGGACCAGGAGAAAAAATCATTTTTATTTTAAACTTAACCTTCCTCTGATTATAATCCTAAGACAGAAATGTCAACACAACCATGGAAAACTCAAATAATTAAAAACGAGGCTGAATCCAGCTTCTTATTCGCAGCTTCTAATTGGTGGAACGGATAGTGTCAATAAGAAGCTGCGAATAAGAAGCTGGATTCAGCCTCATAGTGTACACAGAAGTCACAGTTCGGTTCAGACATCACGATTCGGTACAATTTTGGTACAATGGAGTGAAAAGCAAAACAGAAATATAGAAGGCATTTTTATAAATGCCTTAAGCCTTGTATTTTTTTTAATAAATTTTATTAATAAAGACATAGAACCAGTTTATCTATAGTGCACTGATAATAGTTTTATGTAATTAGTTTATTAAATTAATAAAAAGACCTTGAGATGTGTTTTGTAATTGGACCTGAATTAATTTAAAATTAATTAGCTATATTTCAGATCAATATATTTGTTTTCTTTAATTTGAATTTACCCTATATTCTCATCAGAATTATAAATAGATTTCCGTATAACAAAAAAAAATACTACCAACACATTTTATTTTTTAATGTGTAACTTAAAAATTAAACAGATTAGTGCTCTGTTTTGAGGACAAGAATGAAAACCAATGCGGTTTGATGATGACTGCCAGAGACTATTTTTGTGACTGTCCAAAAGATGGAACACACTGACTGTTTTAAAAAAAGGGTTGGATATAATTTTCTTTTAAAACAGTGTGTGTGTGCGCGTGTGTGACAGTTGTAGGTGACAGTTTGACAAGAAATACAGTGTGACAAAAGCACAATGTTGTGTTTTATTGCGAGTATAGGCCTACACAATTATAAGTAAACACTTTGCAGACTGAATGATCTCCTGTATTAACAAAATTACAGCGTATGTTTTTGTCTCCACTGTTTGATCGTACTCGCGTCGCTTCTCTGTCTCTCTATCTCTCTCTTAAACACACACAAAGTTAGATCGCGCATGTGCTTACTCTCTCTCGCGCGCACGCACACATACTCCAGCCGACTCCAGCATTACAATCTTGACATCGCAGCCTGTTCAATATGCTGTGTGCACATCAAACGCGAATAGAGCGAATTATCCAATAATGCTTTGCAATTCTAGCCTGCACGGCATGCAGATGAAGGGCACTCATTTTCTTGAAGGGGTGGTCAAAATCCCTTGCCTCTTCAGTATATATTTCATAATATCATTTTGAATGATTATGTATTTCTTTTATAAAATCAATAATTAAGTATGTTTATTGTTACTTAATCATTTATTGACATAAATGTATTCTTTGTGCTTTTGCTTGTGAAATAATATTCTTAAATGCATGCTGATGTACATGCACAAGTCACCAGCTTCTTTTAGGTGCACAAGGCCATTTGTCTCTTTCTCTGGTCTCAGGAGAAAGGTTTATGGATCATAAAGGCGTCGTGAACACATATGTCCAACACATATGATACTTCTCTGTACAGATGGTCAAGCTATATTGAGCATTGCTTTATTGAACTTTAATTGTTATATTAAACTGTATTCTTTCTATTATATTTGCTTTCTGAGAAGCAAATGTTATCTGTTTTTCTCCCAAACGAGCGAATGTTTTACCATTATGTTTTGGTACACTTAACTGATAATAAGCCGCTCAGACTCTCTTCAGCCTTGATGGGAGCTCCTATTTGCTAGTGTCCTATGTGAATGCAGTAACAGTGAAAATAATAGGGAAATAGGGATTTGGTTTATGTTTGAGTGTTAAAACATAAAGGGGTCATTGAAGCCAACAGTTTAAGGCACTATTTCTTTGTTGAAGTCTTACTCCAGTTAGACTAAAGTTTAGTGCTAGTCTTCTTGGTTGCAGGTTAAGGAACCACTGCCATTATTGGAGATTGAATGAGTTGTTGTTCTGGACACACTGGCGCCAGCAACCCAAATCTGTGACCTGGAAGGTCATGACGTGCCTCATCGATGGAGATATGTTTCGTCTATCTGTATATGTGTGGAAAATTACTGTGTTTATCTATATCGTAGCCAATGAGAATCATTCAACGTGTAAGCAATGACGTAGCTTAGAACTTGAAAACAGTATAACTGCTGTGATCTTTGTAACTGTAAGGGGCGGCCTACGAACTCCTGAGGGAGTCTTGAAGCTGACTTCTGCTGATGAAATGGCAAACTATGTTCAGTAAAAACTTTC